AATTAAGGAACTTAGAAATATTATCGTGGCAAAACCCTTTTTTCACAGGTCCAGTTAATATTTAGGAAGATCTATTGGCAGAAATTGAATATAATATTCATAGGTATGTTTTTCATTAGTGTCATAATCACCTGAAAATAAGAATCAATTAATAAGCCATTATCTACAGGGGGAACGGGTCCTCTTCCACAGAGGATGTTGATCCGCCATGTTTCTACAGCTTCTACAAGTACCCAATTTTTCACGAGTTTTGTGGCCACAGTAGTCTCACACACCTCACAGCCGGTTCTTATTCCCAGGTTGTCAAATACAGACAGAAGTGGTGTTCAGTTCGTTGAAATTTGCAAACTTCACTGCTAAATGCCACTAAACCCTTCATTCTGGCCATTTAAGTCATAAACACAAGAGCTAAAAAAAATTTGATTAGACTTAGAAAATTGATCACCAGAATTGTTTTTCTCACTCGCCTCTGAGGGCTTCTGTATTTGGTGTAAATGGCTATGAAAAGATCCTTGGGAATGATAATTCAGCCAATAAGCTTTCATAAACAGCTACCCATGATACATTTTTGTAAACCATCAGTGTAACCACTTATATCTAAGACAACAAATAACAGGAAAACAATTTTAAGTTAAAAAAGTTAAAGCATCTAATGCATGAAAATAATACCATCAAATTACTCCAAGCAAACCAGAACAGCTAACCATCTGATTAAACTGGGTTTTGTAATAGTAGTTTTAGGCACAGCTAGTTAGAATTTTTGTTTAAACAAAGTACTAACATTAAAGGGAATGGTGCAAACTACAGGAATCCGTTTCTGTTCCAAGTTCAGCAGGTTCCACAATAACCTGCCTCTCTCTCCTTATCTAGGTCCGCACTTTGTTGCCGTAAACAACAAGAATGAAATTATTGTGACAGATTTTCACAATCACTCTGTGAAGGTAAGTCATGCTTTCGCCTGGACTCAAAGGATGAATTCTTTCTGAAGTTGCCACAAGCTTAACGTACCAATGTAGTATTCCTTTATTTAGATGCATATTGATTTTCTATAGTTGACAGTGGATCATATTTATCTGCATTTAAGTGCACATGGAGAAGTAGACAAAATGTTTTTTTTACTGACTTCCTGTTCCAGGTGTACAGTGCAGATGGAGAGTTCTTGTTCAAATTTGGCTCTCATGGTGAAGGCAATGGCCAGTTCAATGCTCCTACTGGTGTGGCTGTAGATGCCAACGGAAACATCATTGTCGCTGACTGGGGTAACAGCAGAATACAGGTGAGGCGGGTTATATTCAGTCTGCTAGCAACTTCACAACTTTAACACTAAGAACTGAATGTTTTATCAGTATAGTTTTGTTTTGTTAGAAAGAAAAAGTTACATTAAATCATGAAAATGCTATGAAAAAGGAAATGTTATAATAAAATATTATTATTATTTCAGGTGTTTGACAGCACAGGCTCCTTCTTATCTTACATTAACACATCAGCAGACCCGCTGTACGGCCCCCAGGGCCTCGCCCTCACCTCAGATGGACACGTGGCTGTTGCCGACTCCGGCAACCACTGCTTTAAAGTTTACAGATATCTGCAGTAGGCTGAGGGAAGACATTCACCAACACAACTCTTGCTTAGACTTCACATACTGCTTGTGGACATAGAGCTGCAAAGTGCCTGCACACTTTTCAGTGGCTCCAAGTTCTACATGTTAATTTCCTTAATTTTGTCTGTACATACTTTAGAAGATCTATACAGAATCACAGTCAGGTTTCTTTTCAAGTAGGTTTTAACATACAAGGAATTTGCCTTAGTATATTGGTGCATAACAATAAACATAGCACGAGAAAAATATAAATAAAGATGAAAGCAAGTACTGAAAGTCAAGAAGCATAAATAGAAAAATAAGGAAACTGACAGTAACATATGATAAAATATTGTAAGGATAACAAAAGAGAATATAATAATAATAAAACAACCCAAACACGAAAAAACAAGTGTAATTCAAATGTTTTTAAGACAAATATGTTATTCCAAAAAATATTGAAATTATTGGAAGAAGTAACATTAATTCCCAATCTGAGAGAAAATAAATCCTATCCCGAGACTATCCTGATGAAATAATGTTTAAAAATAGTGACTAAGGAATAAACACATTCTGTAATTAGCTATTTTCCTATCTGATAACCCATGGTCTGTCTTCTTTAAACTCTCAAAACAAATCAAAAGGTGTTTCAGCTCTATGTCTCACTAGTAGGACCTTACTAGTAGATTGCCTGCCAGTAAGAAAGTTGGTGATACACTGCAATTTATTTGGGAAATTCAAACAGGCAACACTCCCAGCAACCAGCAAACAAAGCGAGATAGAAGGGGAAGTCTCCTACCTGGTGATGCTTTGTGATTGAACAATGCTCAGGCCTTTCCTTGAACACTGTTGCATGTCACTGCGCTCCAAAAAACAATCGACCCTGTCGTCACTGCCTTCAGTTTCTCACCGGTTAACACAACAGAACACACGCAGAACAGGAATGTGTTATTCTCATTCTGCACCTTATCAGTCTGACAAGATCCCTGCACACGGATACAGATTGTTGTTGTTTTTCTTTTCAGTCCTAAGATGAGAGTGATATGCAAGTTTTTGTTTTGTTTTGGTACCCAAAGACAAGCATCAAGAAGCACAACAGCTAATCCCACGACAAGGTTTCCGAACACATACGAATCAGCTCTTCAACATTAAGTTCACTCCCTTCTAGCTTATCTTTCTCTTCTATTAACCAAAACAAACTTCTTATATCTAACCCCACTAGTTCTTGCACTTTCGTGTATTCATATCTACAACCTAATGTAGTTGTACATATGCATATTTAGATGTATATATGGATTTGATGTCCATGTTATTTCACTATATAGCCTACGTATTCCGACACTTAATGAATCGAGGATTTCAACACTGGAACATAATGCTCACACAGTAGAAGGTAATGCCAAGTAGTAGCCAACTGAATGACTTGCAAGCATCAATGGAACAAAGTTGTATACACATTATTTGCTGTGTTTTATTTTTTCAAAGGACTTAATTTATTTTTTATTTTATTTTCTACATGATTTGTTCTACAAATTATTTTTCTAATTGGTGCATTTGAACTGTCTCCTCTTTGCCAAACATCGTTGTACATAGGCCTTGTAAGTTGTAGCACTGAAAGCCGCGCTCTCTCTCTCTCTCTCTCTCTCGCCTCTTCCCAGAGCTCACACCCAGTTAAACAGTAACTTTTCCTTCTGCCAAAACATATTGTTGTAAGTTGTTGTTGAACATTGCACAAAATACAAATATTATAAGAGTTATATAGTTTGCAAGAGTAATATATGCCTCTGTGTATAGTTATCATTTAACATAATCAGAAAGTGTACTGTATATTACAATCATATTCTTGTTGTAGCTGACAAGCACCTTTTATCATGGATTTTTGTATTCATTTGCTTGGTAGTTCAGTGTTTTGAAGGTTTAATGTGTGGAGGAACACAACACCAGCTAACACACAGTGACAGAGAACATTTTTCATCTGCGTTATGAATAAACTGTCTGTCCCCGATAATTAATGTGTAATTCATTCTGTCCTTCCATCTGCATTTCCAGTTTATTGGAAAGCTCTCTGTAATGACCGCTTTCGTTGACTCGCCTCCTCCATCAATTGGACCCCATGTGTTACTATGTTTTATTTTGTTTTTTATGTTTGTCTGTCACTGTAACTGACCTAACTCATGTCTGTGTGAAATAAAGGAAGCACATAAATGAAAGACTACGTCAACCATCTCGTGTAGCCCGCTGTATACTAGAAGAGGCCAGTCTTAGAAGAAGTACCACACTACTACATTTATGTAATCAAGGCAACGGTATGATTGTAAATATTAAAGAATGACACTATGAACTATTGTACAAATGGTCTTTTTTTTGTGTAACAATATTTCAGTTAAATTAATGAATTTATGTTTTCTTTTTCAACATATTAAAAATCAGCGTGCCCTTGCCTCTTGCTGACATGAGTCTGAATATCCGTAATGTAATATAAGCAGCCATTACAGTTTGTGCTCCTGATAATGCTGAACTGTTTTCGTGTGTCCTCTGTTGAGGGAGATCACAGGCATTGCCATGGAAACCAAGTTGTCCACAGAAATGCAGCTTATAAACATCAGACCAGCGAGTAGACGTATCACCCATGTTAATGTATTTGTAACAGTTGTCAACTATTTATATTACCCTTTATTAAAACCACATCTCTGCAAAGAGACAGGAAAATAAGTTAGTGCTAAGTCATTACCAAAGCAGGAGGAGGAGATGGAAAGAGCAGTTTTTCTCACCTCCTCCTTGAATGTTCTGGCAGCATGAAAACTGAATCAGCAACACCAAACTGCTATTCTGGTCCAACATCCTCATTTAACCTTCTGAGACAAACCGGGAGCAACAGTCCTCTAGAAAAAAACCTCTTACTCTAAGCAGCAGCCTGGTCATTGCAGAGTCAGTAACTCCTGTGTTTCTGACAGGTGTAGGTTTGGATGCAAATGAAAGAACCCTTACCGGAAACCTACAGCAAAGGTCAACAACATGGTTATCCAGGTATACAAATCTGACCATCTAACAGCCGGTGCACCTACTAAACTACTTCTACCAGAAGGAAAGGGTTTAATATACTGATGCTGCCAAGTAAGAAAAAAATATGAACATCTTCCTAAAATCTTGTTCCAATTTAAATATTTCAGAGTTGAATCTCACACAACTGGCTAATGATGTCGTAATACCAGAAATAACTAATTCAGCAGGTTTTGACTCCACTAAGTTTGCACTGTGGGAAAATTAATTTGATTTAAAACCAAATTACAGGCCATGAATACATTTTGCTGTATTGCTGAGAGTTTATATCACACATTGGCAAGCTCATGAAAACAGAGGTAATAACAGAAAAGTGGATAAAGCAAGTGGACATACAGGCTTTCAAGAAATAAAACACAAGTCTTTTTCCTCTTTTAATCTCATTGTAAAGTCTGAGAAACACTAAGCACATTCATAGCAGGTGAAAGGGCCACAAACAGGGAGTAACAAGAGTATTTTTTTTCCCCCCTTTCACATTTATCAAGACACAGCCCCAAAACTGCTATGCTGAATACAAAAATGAAATCCAGAGATGAAATGTGTGTTCATTAAATGGAGGTATGCAATCTTAGACAAAACAATTAGCAAATACTCAAAAGTTAAAGAGCACAGAGTTTTCCAGTTCTAACACGTGAACACTTCAGACGTCTAACTGAAAAAAGGAGCAATTTCATTGGCCACACCTACGGCCAATCTCAAATATCATCATGCTCTTAAATGTTTCTATTATGCTCCTCAATAAGCTCATTTGAAAAAGAAAAAGAAAAACAAAGTCACTGTATGACCCTGGAAGATGGCAAACATCCCACATGTAGGTTCATAACCGCACTGTGGGGAAATGCACCAGGAAAAATAAAAACCCATAGAGATCATCTCATCTCAAATAAGAAAATATTTAAATATAAGTTTATGAAGGAAGGAAAAACAAAAAAATGTATACAATTGTCCAGATACATGTAATTTTACATTCAAAATCAAATAAAACGGCATTAATTGATAGAAAATAAAAATCACGAGGACGAGTTAGATAATAGACTTAAAAATGTCTGGACCAACTCGACAGCTAGCGATAAACTAAAGCAGGATTGTTAAAAAAAAAATAAAAATAAAAAAAAATAATATAATTAAGGACATGCTGCAAGTAATTTGTAACAAAGCAAAACAAAAACATGGAGAACTTTCATTTGGCATTCCACAAGTTTTCATTTTAGTAAACGTGGACTCTTGGCTGTGAATCCTGACAGTTGTGGATGGAATGTCTTAAATACATCTAAACGTTCACCCATTAAGTGACAACATATTTGGGGATATGGCTGCAAATCTTAAATTGCCGTTAGAATATTTTATAACCATTTGCTTTGTCTTCCAGCTGCTCATTTACAGACAGACTGATAAAAATGTTTCAGATTTTTAAAAAATACCTCCAACAAAAGCAAAATGGCATGACTTCATGCCTTCAGTATCACTGCTCACATAAAATAGGCTGCAAAATGTGACCCAGAGGAATATACAGAGGAATTTGCGAGTCCAAAAGTGTCGACAAAGTACATCATAATATAAAAAAAAAAAAATACATAAAGATGATTTTAAAAGTCTAATGATAAAATTATTTGAGCTGACATTAACGTCCACAAAACAACTTGTTCCTGGAAATCTAACAATAGTCTGAGAGGTGAAATCCCAGTACAAGCTGGCCAATTCGTGTCAAATAATTCAGTGCTGACTGTTCTTCAGCCTAGAATTAATGACGGAATCTTGACTGTCAACAGCTATCAATGTGATAACCATGTGTCATGCCCTTCAAGTTCTACCCAACAAGGCAACAGCACGGACCCTGTCTGGCAAAAACGTAGTTAATGTACAGTAGTATGGCATAGCAGTTGCTAACAGGATAAGAGCTGTACATGCTCTGATCAACAAGAGCATCTGAGGCATCTGCATCCCAGCAGACACAGTGATATAGACAGCAAAGCACCTCTCCAAAAACGCCCCCCAACCACAGTAGCCAGGGGTATAAACCTACAGTGTGTGTGTCTAGGTTGAAAGATACTGAATTTCAAATTTTCTATCCCAAAAAGAGAATAAATTAAGTTCTTCATTACAGCTGAAGTGTGACGAGACACCTGGTAATTCTTATTCAGTATTAATTCCTATTTTCAAACTCTAGTAAGACCAACAAGTAACAGCTCAAATGCGTACAGTACATGGCTGAAGGGTCAACATCACCCTGGCTCTCCAGTCTGGTCTGTGAGATAAAACCTTGCTAACAGCAAATCTGAAAACACCGGCATACTCGAGTTTACTCTTAGGTAGCTAAATTTAAACACTCGTCACAGCTCTCTCAGTAATAGTGGCATATCTGCAGCCTGCTGCCTGGGTCATTCTTTCCTGGGCTGAAGAAAGGATACACAGGCTCTTCAAAGCAGGTGTCAAACATGTACAGTCTCTTCATTGTGACGGCATCATAGAAACTAAGACGGCCATTGTCGTAGTCCAGGTACACACCGACCCGAGGAGAGTTCCAGTAATCGGCGACAGGGATGCGCCCGTCCTCTCCGTTGGCATACAGCCGGTCCTGCAGACACAGGCTCCAGTACCCTGCGGAGGGAGTGAGGCTGACGAAGCCCTTTCTGTTGCTGCACTCGGTGGTGACTCCCAGGTACCACACACCTTTGTCCTTCACATCCACCTCCCAGTAGTGCTGGCCGCTGGCGTACTGGGCTGTGGCAAGGACACCACAAAACCGCGTGAACCGGGCTGGCAGGTCTGGCTCCTGGTTGCGAACACGGCCCTCCTCCACTTTTGTGTCAAAGTCTGAGATGAGCAGGTTTGGGTGAGCTGTGTCTGGGTCTAAGGTGAGGTTCTGAGGCACTACACAGACAGACAGGGAGAGATTAGCTCACCTTGCTCTTACATTGACTGAAGCTGGCAGCACATTTGGAAAAAAATTTGAGAAAAATACGTAATTTGCCAGGTTGGGGGTGGGGGGGCTGGAGCAGATCCTAGCTTACACTGGGCAACGTACACCATGGACAGGTGTAGCACATGGCTGACACATACAGGCAAACATTTAGGCTCACATTCACAACAATTTAGACTCTCCAATTAACCTACATGTCTTTGGACTGTTGGTGGAAACAGCATCTGGGAGGTGTAAACCACAGGTCCTTATGAAAGTCACAACAAACTTAAATTACAGCTTTTAGATTTAATGATAGGTGTGAAGACTCAGCAACCTGCTTGCTTATTTCTGATCTCACATTTGTTCAGAAACAGATTTTAGAGGACTATGGCTAAGGTGGAATACGTGGAAGTATATGTAGCCTAATTCAAGCATTTAGGGCACAGAACCACTCCAGTGGTGGCATAGAGGACATGGGAAAAATATGTCGTTAAATTAAGTTGAATAAATAGGATTTATGTAGGGGAAATAAACAAAAGCTTGCTGATGCCATTGTGCTGACCTTTATTTGACTAAAATTCAAATTGGATGTTCTTTTTAAATAATGGCATGCCAGAAAAAGTTTGAGAACCACTGATATAGAATAAACTCACTGGTATGCAGCACGTGCATCATCTTCTTCCACATGATAAGCTGGAAGGGCCCTGAGAAGTCTGTAAATTCAGTCTGACAATTAACCGTCTCGAGGGATGTGAATGGCTTGCAATGGATGACTCTGTGGAATAAAGATTGAATAAATGTTTAAAGTGTTTTTTTTTTTTTAAATTGATTTTTTTATAGGTCCATATCAAATAAACAACTAAGTTACTTACTCATTGAATGTATCAGAAAGGCTCTGTTGGAAGAAAAAAAAAAACAAATATTGAACACGCGTCATGTTTTCCTCAAGTGAATTTGTGTACAGTCAGTTTTAAAATGCAATTCAAAACACAAGTAAGCTTCATAACACGTTTAAGCTTCCATTCACACCAATAGACTTCCCAAAATAAAATGCTCCCATCTACCATTTCAAAGATGCATTCTGAAAAAATAAATCAATTCAGTGTAGTATTTATTCATGATCCTTATTGCACACTGACCGAAACATTATCCATATTTACTGTAAAGCTCCAGCAGAGGCATGGTCTTTTAGGAGTTAAGAGTCGAATCACCTCTGTGAAGCAGACGGCTGATATGTTAGACTGACCTCAAAGCTAGTTTTCCCACTGATGTGGCTGTGGATATTAGCTATAGCTTTGTCCACAGCTGCCGCCTCCGTCTCCACAATCTTCAAGTTGTCGTCTATGACGGCCATGGTGGCCACTTCCTCTGCATCCAGGCACTCAAGCAGGGAGTCCCTTTCATCTAATAAGAATTGGACCAAGGCACCAACATCTGCTTCAATCTTCTCCTTGAGTCTCTGCTTCTTCAACTAGAGGATAGAGAGGTTAAGAGGACTAAGAAAAGATTTGATGATGTATGAAGTATGATTGGTTGTAATGTTCAAAGACCATTTGAACCACTTTACGTGTGGACATGCAAATGTCACCAGCAAAAAATAAAAAATAAAAAAATAATCCGTACCCTGACTTCGTTTCTGGTGCGCTCATCAGCCGTAATAACTTTTACACATTGAGACTTCTGCCAGTTGAGCTCCATTAATCTCAATTTCAACTCCATCTGTAAGTGCACACAGGAAATAATGAATCATGATATCACAGACATAGAAAAATAAATGAAGTGCAAATATTCAAGAAGTAGTGAATAAGACGTGTGGCAAGGGCAAAACAATCTTTAATTCACTGAGTCAAATATACAGTAGGAGAAATCATCCTTGCAAAGTCAAACATGTAGGCTTACCTTCATGTCATTCACAACTTCTGGCACTGGTGCTACCTCATGGTGTCTGAAACAAAAAAAACAAATGAGCAGGCAGTTAGTAACAACTAGAATTACTACTCCGAGGTTCTATCTACCATTTGCCATCTGCAGTGTACATCCATGTCTGACTCAACATATATGTAGTGATAACTTTGAAGTAATTTAATTAAAAAAATAAAAATAGGTATTTGTGCATTTTTTGGCAAGAAATATCACTATATTGACATGCATGATCCCAGTGAATTGTTTCAGTGATAAACAAGCAGTCTTCAGTTAGAGAATACTTTTACAGATGAGTACAGAGGACTTCTATAGGGATCAGTCACATGGTGCAACAACAATCACCTGAGGGTCAATACCTGCAAAAAGAATGGACTACAATGCTTCAAATATGGATGATGCTGCAAAGAAGCTACATTCTGAAACTAGGATGCTTCTTACACTCACACACCTTCAGCCTGGTAACACAGATGTTCTTTACAATCACAGTTTAAGGGGGGCACCAAGATTAGTGGCACCAATTCAGTACCAAAAGTGAAATATGGTAGCATTTCCCCATACATTTATTTGTAGCTGCCTGCCATAATAACCGCCACAATTTTATTTCTTTAACTTTAAAATGCGTAAAATCTATTTCATTGTAGAGTGTGGATTTGCTCAGCTGCCCGTTCCCCTGCACTCTCCCTCTCACAGAAACAGACAATGGACCTTAATACGGGTCTTAATAGTCCCTCCTCTCCTTGCACACCTGACATGGTTTTCAACGTGACAGCACCATTACCCCTTTCAGTTTCCTAGCAGTTAAGAAACACACGATTGTTTTACTTTGGTCTCGACAAGCTGCAGCCTTTAATCACTGACAAACTGTAACTACACAGTACATTCAATGCTTAACTGACATTCATCGTCATTATCTGTTGCTTGTACTCCCACTACGCACAAACACCTCCGGACTGCCCTGTGCTCTTAACACCACTCTGTCAATGGCAGAGGGAAGCAAATCTCCTAGCTAGTCAGGATAGCTATATTTTCATTTGTTTGTTCGTGACATTATGATGTCAAAGTGAAATAGTTTTTTAAAGTATTTTTTTTTTGGCTTTTATTGCCTTTATTTGATAGGACAGCTGAAGACAGACAGGAAAGGGGGGCAGAGAGAGGGGATGACACGCAGCAAAGGGCCGCAGGTCGGATTCGAACCCTGGGCGGCTGCAGCAAGGACTGATCCTTGGTACATGGGTCGCCAGCTCTACCCACTGAGCTAACGGGGCGCCCGTGAAATTGTTTTTTGACCTATTTGATATACAATCTCATTACTCAATTTTATCCTTATCCTATCTTAGATATTTGTGTGAAATGTTGTCATATTTAGTGCATGAATTCTTGAGTCTTTGACCACCATCCTGGAGTCCAAGGGTTAAGGTTACATTTGTTCCTGAGATATCACATTCACAAGAACGGGATGGCTGGACCTACAACCCATAAACACAATGCCTCTGGTCATGGCTTTTGTGGAGGCATAAAAAGTGTGGAACCAGTGAGAGCATGTGAATTTGTGCACAGTACAAACAAAATGGTTGCTACTTGTAAAAGCATTGCTCATAGCGCCACAAGTGGTCAAATAACTCCACAGGGTACATTTAGAGACCATAGGAGCAATTTTCTCAAAACTGTGGGTGCACGCTTACGTTACATACGGTCTTTTACTCCCATTCAAGTTGAAAAGGTGTAAATAAATGCACTCCATGTACCCTGTTGCTTAGCAATTAATTCACCCTTGACAAAAATTCACCAGCCCTGACATTTGCTAAAACTCCCATTTATTGTCCATATGAATTTGTGCAGTGAAATCCAATGTCCTCTACTCTGGAGGAGAACTGTTTCGATTGAGCGCCTTTACCACTTTCTTTACACAATCATCTACAGACACATTACTTACACATAATAATAAAAAGCTAAAATAACTGAGTGTACATCACAAATTGTGTGATATACTGTTGAAGAAACCAGTGGACATAAGAGTTGGTACACTGCAAAAAAGTGACATAACATCTTATTTAACACAAAGTAGCAGGCAATAAGTTGGATAAGATACTTAATACTGAGTGATTCCCATCAACAAAAATGTCACTTTTTTGTCATTGGTGCATTTTCTTTCCCCTTCAGCCCATATCTCACCTGCTTCACACACACACACACACACACACACACACTTACACTTGAAGACAGCAATGACAGCTCTGGTGAACTGTACCATTAATTGCACTGTTCCTACAACACCCACACATGTTTGTAACATCAAAGTTTGTGATGCCATTATGAAATCATTTGTAATGGGATAAGTGAGTAATTTAGGTAATACAAGATAAAACGATGAAGTAAAAAGGAGGCTGGTAAACTCGCTTATGCAAGGACAAAAAAAACAAAAAACTGTGGCATACTGATTAGACTTAGATTGGGTTATCTCATTAACATTTAAGTGTGTGCATTTGCATGACAAAGACAGATCACAGGAAAGCATCGCTTTACTGACTGAAATAAACACTGATGCTCCAGTACTGATATTTTGCCCTTCTCCCCATTTCTAACAATCTGGTTACTTGTAATGCATTGCTGCATTTTCATAGACGTGACAATCTTAAGCCCCAGTTTTCATTAATCATAATCCAAGATTAATACTTATCAATCATGATCAATAAACTGTTAGGTGTTTGGTTGCTGTCAACAATGTACACTGCCAACCTGACCTGAGAAACCTCAGTGATTATTAGTTAAAACGGATTCTTAATCAGAAAGTATCAGTGCATTGCAATTAGTTTGCAAAAAAGAAATATCTTTAATAACTAACCTAAAGAAATGTGTGTGTAATAATCCTATATACAAAAAAAAAAAAACAGGTAAGAACACAACCAACCTGTGCGCTCTAGATTCCCTGCAGACTACACAGATGGGCCTCTTATCAGTTTGGCAGTACAATTTCAGCTCTTCTCCATGTTGTTCACACTTCCCATCTACTTTAACGGGCTTAGACTGTGCAGGACAAGACCCCAGACACTCCAGGTCGTCCAGTTTTGCCACCAGGTTCTGCACCAGGTAGTTTTTAGTGAAGCTCCGCTTGTTGAACACCTGGGAGGAACAAAGAAGGCAACCGAGAAAGACGCAGAATTGTAACCGAGCACAAAGTCAGCATTAATGTGTTGACAGTTTAATTTAGTCTGCATTATAACATATCATTTATAGCCAAGACACAAAGTTGGTTCATTACTGTCAAGCTAACTGACCTGCTTTTGGCTAGCGTTAGCTATCATAGCAACGGTAGCCACAAAATGCACTGCGTAGCTAATGTTATTTTTCAAACACAAACCATAAACCAGCTACTTTCAATTCGCTTTTAAACACCTGAAAGTAATACTGTCACACGCGTAACAAACATATTTTGTGAGGAAAACACGGCAGGAAACACAGACAGCCTGTGTAAACTTACCGTTCGGCATTGAGGGCACTGATACCCGTAGTCTCCGCCATTTTCATCCCAGTGCATGCAGATGCAAAACCGACAGAAATTATGCCCGCATTTCAGTATGACGGGGTCTTTGAAGAAGTCCAAACAAATTGCACACGTGAGCTCTTTCTTCAGGTCGTCTCCAGCTGCTCCAGCAGTAGCCATGTTTAAATTACAATCCGAAGGCAGCGCAACACTGCCGCTGTAGGAAGTGAAGGAGGAGGTGAGAGGGAAAGGGCTCATTTGTGGTGCGTCATATTCCGTGTTAACCAATCAGACACCCTCGTCTCTCTCTCTCTCTCTCTCTCTCTCTCTCTCTCTCTCTCTCTCTCTCTCTCTCTTAATTTTTTCAATTTCAATTGCTTTTAATGGCATGGATGTTAATTTGAAAGCAACACCGAATAGTAAAAACAAATAAACAGTCCATTGCGTTTAGAATACACTTCATAAAAAATACAACAAACTTGCAAACAGAAAATGTGTGTTAGTCACATTCAATAATATTATTTTAATGTTTCTCCCTCAGTTTGTGACATGCAGTGAATATATGTTGTGTTTTATATCCGTCATGTGACTAATGATTAAAACATATATGCTTGATTAAGTTGATTAAAGTTGCATTAGCAAATGATGATTGAGCACCATGTAATAAATAGAAGGCTGGTATATTGCATGAACTCTGTACTGAGAAACAGGATGGATAAACAGCAAACTCTCAGCAATGATTAGGGTCACACTAACAGTTTCTCCCTGCAGCCGTACAACAGGATCTTGAGATATAGGGAGGGCCACATAATCATGCACAACAACTCCATACTGTGAGATGAACAAGTTGTCAGTTACATGCGAAGGTTAGATAGTGTTAATCAATCTGTTGCAAAGAACAGAGAGTGTTAGTCAATCTGTAGCAAAGAACAGGCGTGTTGTCTATTTGTATGTGAAGTTTCAGATTACACAGGAGGGAAGGCGCCTACAGCTGATGGGAAGAAGACGACGCCTTATTGTGACGTTTCTCACAGATGTACTATAACACACTGGGTCAGGGAGAGATAGAGAGTCGGACTTCGTGAACTGACACACACTTTGTTGCTTGTCAGGGATACTATAGTCTGGACCCAGAGCTCTGTAAACTTTGCATATTCTCCTGGTGTTAAGAATAAAGCTGATTATTGAGTAAACTAAATCTTCTCCTATCGCTTCATTAAAGAACACGCGAGGCAAAGGGCTAAGAGAGAAGCCCTTCCTCAACAGTAGTCACATATTGCTAGCTACGTTTGCTGCATGTCCCTCTCCTAATATAATCTTTAGTTTTTCATTGTCATTGAACTCTTTAAAGTCTGGCATTATTGCATTCAATTTATTATCTTCTTGTGCCATCCTTTCTCTATGGCTAGACTGTGGTTGCTGGTCACACTCTTTCTCTCTCCCTCTCTCTTTCTGTTTACACCTAATTAATCAGGTCAAAACTTAGTCACAAGGCCAAGGGTAATGGAAGTGACATTACACTGAACAAAATAACACTTTTATTTTTTTATATTTACAGATGCTGCTGATTTGGTGTCTTTGGTAGCCTATATGATGTATTTGCCTATGAATGTAATTTTAAAATATGTGTGCTTATGTGAGGTATACATATTAACTAATTGGATACACGTCTAGTCTAAAGTCTTATTCAACCAACTCAGGTTGCAAATCATTTGCAAGTTTCCCAGATCTCTAAAGGCTGGCCATTACAATGTTTCCTACATAGCTGAGACCAAGAACTTCCAATAGGCAAAATAATCAAACATTTAGGTGTTTGCTGGATTTGTCCAACAATTTACGAGGTCAAAACACAAGATTTGAATGTTCTTGCTTTCTATTCTTAAGTCAAGTCAGGTTTTATGGGTGTAAGGTCTCAGGTATGCCCTGTTTCAAAGCACTGAAGTCTAATCAATCAACAACAACCAGTAAGCAACAATATTTATTCTTAAATACATATACATAAAAACCCATTCATAAAAAGACACAAACTGAATATCAAGTTTGATTGTTTGTGCTAAAATTGTCATATACATGGGGATAACTGATTGTGGGACATACATTACATTGCATAGCTTGGATTGGCATGTGAGGGATGTGACTCAAAAAGTGCATTCAATGTCAGATATGGTGTTATTTCCAAATGCATCAGGGCCAAAAAAAAAAAAAAAAAAAAATCACAGCTTGGATTTCAGTAGCCTGTTAGTTGTATAAACCATCACATCCCTTGCTGAATCACAACTCAGCTGATTTCTGGCTGATGTTTATCACATTAGCTAGCCCTGATAAATATTGGAAATAATTATACAATGATGACTGACAACACCATAATAAGACAAATATTCAGGAACACTGATCTCAGCATGTTGTATATCCATAGCAGAGTAAGACACAGGTTTAACAACACATGTAAACAAGAAATTTCACCAGTGATATCAACAAAATAATGAGACACAGATTATATCGAATGTCTCAAACGTTAACATTTCTTATGGTGACATACTGATTTGTAAGCAGCTATTTAGTTTGCATCCTTTGTTCAAAAAACGTGACTCAGAACACTGAAATCCCACACAGCACTAGTGACAAATAAAGCTCACAGGAGCATAATGTGAGAAGAATAGGGGTCAAATGATTGGATATGGATACAATATTTGCATGTTCACAGCACCACACTTATTAGCAGTGTAACACATAAGTGGAAAGTGGCTTTGTAGAGATTCTCTTCAGTCAACAGTAGTAAATTGTGTTACACCACACGGTCCATTCTCTGTAAAAGAAATAACTCCTGAGATGAGTGTATATACGTACCTTAACCAGTGTTATTTTAAAAAAAATATGCAACATTATGTATGAATAAAATGTATAAATATGACAATATCACAGGAACACACAGTGGAGCAACACTGTGATGATGGATAATAGTAAACATTGTGGTAACACAAGGTAAAGTAAATAACTGAGTTTACAAAAATACAGACAATATTAGAAAAAACAAACAGTGGGAACAACCCAACTCAGCAGCAACAGACATGCTCAATACATCTAGGAAAACATTCCTCATCATATGGTAAGTAAAATAAAGAAAAGTAGACAGAGTGAATGAATACAATGATTAGCTGGTTAATAAACCTAAATCCTGATGACAGCAGTGGTATTCATCTCCTGCAGTCTGATAAGAGAGATCTGCAAGTTTAGTTAACAGAGGAACAAGTGGTGGGATCTTGTTTTTACACTTTTTGTTACACATTGTATAATGCAGAAATGACTGTCCCAGAAAATATTTCAGTCCAAAATTGTAGGCCTAAAGGCACACTTCATCTCAAAATGAATATTAGTTTACCTAATACAGTCTTAAATGTTTTGTGGCCAAACACTTAGCTATAATAAGTCCAATGTTTACCTTTAAATTCCCAATATTTCCCTAAATGATATTATCCTGGCAATGGATGGACAGTAGGTGTTTTAGGTGATAATAGTGGAAATACTTACCAATACTCGTTAAGATACTAACAGGAGTATACTGTACAATCTGTGTGCAGAAATAAATTAGATCCTTTGCAAGCTGCGGAAAAGATGGTCTTGTTGCCGTTAATATTTTGGGAGATACACAAAAGTATCTCACAAACTTCAGAGAAGTTCTGACTGACACAGGGGCAGGTCGATAATATCTAAGTGTTCTTTTTGAGGTGAAGTATTCCTTTCAGTATGAACATTGACATCATCGAGTCCCCTTTACCCCAGATACACCTGCAGCACTAAATCTCTGACTTGGCCTGCGTGACACTAGCTTTATGAGAAAAGTGCTCTCCGTGACTGGGACTGTCCTGAAGGGATATAGCTGCTTCAGGCACTTTAACACCATAAAGCCAGTAAGAGAGTGGAAATACCATGCTACTAGCAGCACAAGTTGGAATGTTAAGTGAAGACAGCGTATAGGACTTTCGTGCTGTTTTCTGGTGCAGTGATCAACGTACATAATGGATCCCATACTGTAGAAATCCCCCCCCAACTAACAAGCACACACACACGCCCAATAATGTATGGGATCAATCTCAGATTTTTGGTGTTATGAAAGTAATTTAATACCAGTTTAAGAAAAAACATCCAAAATTTTACAAAAGCCCCCAAATCTTCACCCCTTTGTCCATCTGTCCATCCACGCATCCGTTGCTCAGACCTCTGAGCTGTTGTGGCAGTCTTGCATCCTCACCACCAACATGGGCTCCGTACTGACAGACCCTTTCACCACCTCCTGCACCCCCTCCCTCCATCCCTCCTTCCCATCCTTCTGTCTGGATCTCAGCACGAGTATGATGGTGACAATAATGAGGACAGTCAGCAGCAGCCCCACCAGTGCCCCCACAACAGTCACCAGACCCTCCTCCTCCTCCTCTGCGTTCAGCTCACTAGGTTCCAGCCCATCGGGAAACAGCTCATTTGGCCCCCCTGCCCGACGCTTGGTGCGGTCCAAAGCAATGTGCATGATATTGGTGCCACGGTTGTTGTCCACACCGATATCCTCAGTCACCTCTGGGACTTCATCGGCAGCCGATCTCCTGGAGCGATGACCTCTGCTGCTTGACGAGGTCAAGGCGAGATCGTTGCTTGTGGAAACCAGAGAGTGGTACTCTAGGCTGCGCTTTCCAATGCCTCTGTTTGCATTCTCTTTGGAGCGGACTGTGTAAATGGTGTGCATGTACCACTCACGGCCTGCAGCAACCTGAAGAAAACACAAAATAACAGAAAGCAAACAGAATTGGTTATGAGTCCAAAATGAGCATGGCTTGCAAATATAATTATCTACATGCAGTTTTGATAAGATTAGACTGAATTTATTTGATGATTAAAAACATAATAACTGCACAGCAGTTGTACAATCATCGAGATTGAATCACAATAAAGATTCATGACTACCCTCCGTTGTGGCCCTCTAACATACAACAAATGTCACAATACAACATAAAACCCTAACACCAGACGAAGCAAAACATACAGTGCTGTACATACAATAGTGGAGAGGCAAAGTCCGCATGTTCCAAGCTCTTGGCTTTGCAACTATATCTCACAACAGCACATATAAAGTAAAGCTTTTTGAGTTTACTTACTACTGTAGCTGCTGGTTCACAATAAAAAAAAATGTCATTGGCAATGTGTAATAGTAACCTGTAAAATACCTGGAACATGGCTGTAGAGTCCAACCTAAAGCCATCAGACCCTG